GAAATATATATAAATTCTGTCTGTACTGCCAGATTTAATTTTATATTAATAGTTAAATATTCCGCTAAAGCAAACTTTTAACAAGATCTTAATTTTATTTGTACGACCGACAATAGATCCTTTGTTTCCAGATTTAATGCAATTACCGCTATTATAAAGTAGTGGTCGATCGTCGTTATGGAACTTTGTTATTTTGAATAATAATTTTATCGTAATCCTCGATGGTCGTTGCTAAAGTTAAATTGCTATGAGAACTCTCCACTTAAACGCCCCAATAAATAACCACTAAAGAGTGGAAAGGTTTTAAATTTGATTTCGTGTTCAAACTTTTAAAATTATTTTATACTCTACAGTGTTTTTGAAACGTGTTATTAATAGTTTTAATATCTGAAAGTTATTATGAAATATTAATTAGCGATAAAGTAATATTTAAATGGAATAAATCTAGAATAAAATCCAAAACTCAAATAGAATAGATTTTATATTTTTTTTAAATAGTAATACTGAAGTATGTTCGTTCATATTTTGATATAAACATTTGTCTACAAAACAAAAACTGTTTTGAAAATGTATTCTTTTACATTATATTATAAATATTTGTATCACAATTTTTCATTTGACACAGTAGCGGATATTTACTTAAAATTTGATCCCCTGGATGTGAAAGTATCAGAACTCTTATAAACTACATACTTGCTAAGAAAACGAGCTAGTAGATCTACTAAAGCCATTTCCTATTACAAAATAATCCCTTGTAACACTACGAAAATAAATGCTATATAAGGCATCTAACTCTTCTCTGACGGGTAAATAAGTTTCTTTGGTGTATTCATGTTGCATAATAAATCTCTTTTCACGCCAGAGATATACAAGTGAGTAATATCGAACATGGTCTATTTATTTACTACTAGCAATCAACGGTAACAAAGGAGCGATGTTTGTGAATATTCATAGGTACTCGTGACAAAATACATCTTTAGATTTTTAATGATTATAAAGTGATCATTGATTCTAAGATTTTTTGATACTACTTCTGTACAATGCCCTAATGAAATACGTGTTATGTTTTTTTTTATATTCAAATTTTAACTAAAATACTTAAGAACTTTACGCACCGGAGGTCTGATATTAGTTCATTTACCCTCCCTAACCTTTTCTTATAAGTAAATTAGGCGGAGGAATAAACGTAGGAAGGGGAAATATACGAGCATGTACAATGTACATTAAACGAGCGTTTTAATTACTTTAAAAATATTTATTACACGCTAGTAGATGGCAATAAATCAAGCTTAAACATAAATCTAACCGCCGACGACGTCTACAGTCTTTTGTCTTAATTAGCAACTGCGAAGCTGAATCCTTTCATTTAATGTGACACAGTTCTTTAGATAGGTACTGAAGTATCCTACACCATCTAAATCACGGCTATTAGTTACATCGCCTTTCTGTCCTTATCTTACTCCAGGTGAGAATTTGTTACTTTCCCTCGTAATAGATTTCCAGAAAAGTTTAACTTTTAAAAAGTCGCTGCAACGATAGTAGAAGTATTTATTAGTTTGACAAATATAGCACAAACAAGCTTTACAAGGAAATGCTTACAAATTCATCTTGAAATTTAAAGTTATTACTTTGACGCTGTTAGAAAATGAAATGGCGTTTGAGTATTCGGCTGAAAGTCTTTTATTTAAGATTGAAAGAGATTATCTTTTTAAGTATTTAAATAGGTTGACTAAAGAAGTGAAAACATTTTTAGCCTTTAATATAAAGTCCATGAACGTTTGGTCATCTTATTTTTTAACGTAATTTTAGTTCATTACGTCTTCCTCAATTAATACCCATAAAGTAATTTAACTTCGTCACCGTATTACTTTGTTCATTTTGAAGGAAAACTTTTTGCTTTGAACGTAAAAGAAAAAGTTGAGATTGTTACGTAGGAAGATGATTACTGAAAAGGTTTCCGTTATAAGCTATTTACATTCGACACGTGTTCAATTTTCGTCCCACGTAGTTGATACGATGTCTTAGAAAAACTTTTTTGTTTTTAGATAATCACCATACATTTTCTTCAAATTTTACATATTACTTAAATTTGATTGAAGATAACTTTCACTAAATAAAAATTACTGTACACAATTTTATGTTTATAAAATGACTAGCTTTCGCCCGCGACTACGTCCGCGTTGAATTTAAAAAAAAACTAAAGTGTTCTTTACTTTGCCTATGTGTTCTTCCAGGCTATCCTCTATATCTGTACCAAATTTCATAGAAAACCGATGATCCGTTTCGGCTATAAACTCTAACAAACATCCATCCATCCATCTAAACTTTCGCATTCATAACATTAGTATGAAGTATGATTTATTACACTCTCTCATAACTCGTCAGCATAAAATAAAAATGTAATCGGTTTACTACATTACTAAAAAATTAAACACAGCTTTAATGCTCATTAAAGTTTTTAATGTTCGTTGAAAAGCTTAGCGGAGAACAATAGAATTACTGAAAGTTTTACGGTTGCTACGCTTGATGCGCTGACAGCTAATGGCTTATTTAGCTGATGAGCGCAAAATGCACGACAGTATAAAACTTATAATGCCATTATGCGACTGTTATTAGAGAACAACAGTAAGCAGAATGATTTGCATGTCGCACACAAGCAGGCGCTTTGATTTTTAAATTAATTTGGTTGTTTATAACAATCAATTGACTTTTAAGTAATTTTATTTACAATGTTATTTGTGCTTACTTATTTTAAGAATGTTGTTCGCATATTCAATAATTTACGTAAAGATAGGGCTTTTAAATACGTAGCATCAATTCGTGCAATACCTACTTTTATTTCATTGTATATATTTTTTACAAAAACCGTGATTGTAGCTGAAACACTAATATATAAAACTGCTAGTAAAAGATAATTTAAAGTCGAACCCATACTCCGATTCTGTTTAGGTACTAAATTATTCTAAAAAAATGACGTAATGAGAGTTACTTTCAAAGTAATATTAATATATAGCTTGAAATGATCTTTTTTGCCATATTTGGGACGGGGATAATCTATTCATTGTATTTGTATGCACGACTCGAAATGAACACGCAAATTTACGACCGCAATTGATTAATAGTCTAACTTCATTTGTTTTGATTAGGCAGATTATCTTTAATGCTAAGACAATCTCTGTTCTACCAAATTAGAATCGGAAATTAAACTATCTGAATATCTTCCATGCACTTAATTATTAAACAAGTATGTCCTTAAAAAACTCTTTATGATGCTATATAAATTTCAAAGTAAGTTCTTTACAAGTTACGTATAAGTCTTAACTAGTGATGGTTTGAAGTTTGAACTTTGCCAAGCCACAATTGTGAAGAGCGGTTAATAACTTGATGTAGTTTAATTAGCTCCTTTAAATATATTAACTCTCATTTCCTTCTTAGGATTTCACCTCGGAAAATCTTCTTCATTAATGGACTCGAGACTTTAAAATGTACTTCATCAATAATTTAAGAATTTTTATAATTCTACAATGCGCCTAAATATGACACGTCTGCCAATAGACTTGGTAGCTTTGGTTGGCTGAACGTATCTGCATAAAATTTAGCATAGATGTAGAACATAGTTTAGAGGAATACAAAGGCTACTTGCTTTTTTAATTATACGCGGACGGAGTCGCGATCAACAATCAAATAATTGTTATGTAATCCTGTAATACTAATTCGATCAGAAATGAAAACGTCGATGTACTCGTAGTACTGTAACGAGTAACTGACATGTAATTCGAGGGGGCCTTTTCCTACCCTTGTCAAGGTACTCTGCGGTAACGTACTTTGTTAAGGATACACTAAGAGCATTAAGTGTCCGACCACATCACGCCGATAAAGCTCTCAGTGTAAGGGTGCGCTCAAATGAAACAGTTTTAAACCGTCGAAGGTAATGGAAGGTGTCAGAGTTTATTTTAACCGACAGACAGTAAGATGAGATGTTTGTATGTTATTTCCGTTACTAGGCTCATTGTAGGCCATACAATAAGTCTACTAACAATCGACGGGTTACCTGTTGTGAACAAAGCCTAGCAAATATTAACTTTAAAATACTTTTGTACCTCATAATCTAGAAAAGATACAACGTATAACGCTAGATAATTTTGTCTAAGAAAAACTGTAGTTCATTCTTGAGATTGTCTTTATTATATTTCTTCATTTTAAAAGTAAAATCTTGGAAAATGTTTTTCATCTTAACAATATTTCATGACATACCGAACAAGTAACGCTTCTTCTGTTTAAAAGGAAATTAAACTGTATTTAAAAACGTCTGCAGATTATAAAAGCACTTTAAGTAAAAACTTTGCTTGTTTCTTTAATTCATAGCGCTTATGAACGATCTTAAAAGTTTAAAATAACACAAAACAAAGGATAAATTCTTTTTTTTTTACTTTTTACAATATACATAAATAGGGACTAAATAAAAAATCAAGAATTGATCAAGAATTTATTTTCTTCTTGACAATGAAATAATTAATTTCCAGTTAAGACATAAATAAAAACGAACTTCTTTGACATTCAAGAATTGTGCGACTTTGAATATTTTGGAACAGTCTTTCCTTCTTTAAATCTATGTACATAGCATATCAAGAAATAGATATTAATGATACAAATTCTAGAACAAACGTAAATAATGCACAACAGATAATCTTAATACGATTTGATTTACATTATAGTAGTCCTACTTAATTTTATTCACAAACAATAAACTTTTTACAAATTACAGAATACTTTAAAAAATTTAGAATATCATACTTCGACATAACGAGTAGTTTCATTAGGAAATCAATATCAATAAATCGTATGCTGTTCTGAATTACAAACATTAATAAACTATTATAATATATACAAAAAAATCTACAATTTACAACACGATACCATAGCACATCATCGTAATATTAATCATTGTATGTTGTAAAAAATATTAATATAGTATACTATAAGAATATAGTATACCAAGGAACCTACTAAAAGTTCTTAGAAAAGTATTCTACTAAATAATACATCTAATTTACTTTCTTAACTTATAAGCAAAAACTTCCAAATGAAAAGAAAATTTATGGTCCACATGCTTATTATAACAATGACTATTTCTTAACACCGAAAAACACCACTTTTACACTACCATATTCACTATGTCTTATATCAAAAATGTTCCATGTGAACAACATTCACTTTCGTGTGAAAAGTTACCTTCGGAAGTCATCGCGTTAACGTCACTTCCGTATCACTGGAGCTTCTTGAGCTTTCTTTAATAACATCTAGTTCTCTGTTCGAAAGAGAAGAATTCCGTGAAAACTTTGGCACAATACAATGTTCACCCTTCTCATCAAAAGCTTCACGACAACCTCCATTCGTACAGTCTTTGGAATCATCTGAATCATCCTCAATCACATTATTCACTTCCACCTCCAATAACTGATCTTTGCCTCGATATAGATTAAAATTTCGCTCATGACTCAGGCTACGTATCCTATCAAGGTTGTGTTCCAAATTTTGTTCAATATCATTTTCTATGCACGATGAATCATTAAACTTCCATTTCACACTTGAATTAAAATGCTCTACGCCTGGATACATACCAATACTATTGCTTCTGTGCCCGAAAACCGGACAGTTCGGTATTTCTCACAATTCAGAATGTCGACCGTTACATGTTTTTCCCAAATTTCCCTCATCTAAACTTAAATTTGATCGTGTACGGCCGCATTCAAATTCTGGATTTGGTCGAAATAGACAAAAGTCAGAATTTTTCATCCTACACTGACGAGGACATGACTCTATTTGAAATGCTGAGTGATCAAATTGTCTATATTCTGCAGGTCCATAGCCATCGTAATATCTAGGATCATGTTTACAGCTGTTGCTTGGACAGCCCTTAAATGATCCAGTACAACGAAGAGCATCTCTATGACATGCTTTCTGAATAGCATGTAAAGAAGTAGACGAAACAGTACGTTCTAAAATTTCGCCCCAATATTTTTCTCCAAGGCCTTCAAATTCACCTTTAGAATTTATGCCTTCGGAAGTAATTGGTGAACCGCAACACCCTGCACTTTTCTGGTAGAATGAATAAGTCTTCTTCCTGCGGCAACAAACCTGAGTAAGAGATTCTTAATCAGTTATAAAATTATCGACAGTATTTTTATAGTAAATTTAAACTGAAGATAGCCTTACGTAATATTGCACCAAATCATTACTGATTCTTCTAAAGTGACCATTTAGAAGCCAATAGAGGAATGGATTCCAGAAACTGTTGCTTAATGCTAACCACGTTACGATGAAGTCCAGCGATGGTGGAACCTGGGAAAATATTGATATTTGAATAGACAATTTGATTTTGTAATAGACAAAAAGTATTACTTACTCTACATCCCGTACATGCTGCAACAACCTCTTTTATTGTGGCCGGAGTTACCATAACAATGAAACCTAAGGACATGGCTGCCATCGTTCGAGACGTGCTCAAACTGTGCGGTCGAGTTGGTGCTTGAATTTGCTAAAAATTAAACAGATAATTTTAAAAACCAATAAACGCGAACAGTAGCTAAAGTTAAAGTTATTGATGTCATTGATTTGGAAAATCTGTTATATCCAAACAAAATTTTAGAATTTACTTGACTCTTACAATGGCTTCTAGTTCTCCATGACTAGTTTTAGAACATGTTACAGGTACACCGTTAGTTCTTGTTGGTTCTGGTTCACATTTAGTCCTTGATTTACTGACGTGGAATCCCGAACCATAGCAGTACATCAGGGCCATTGTTGTTGGAAAGTAATAAGCACAGCACGACAATATTCTAAAATAATATCAAAGATTAGTTACAATCAGAAACTGATGTTTATGTACCTAATACGATTATAATTTGTTTGTTACCTAAAAGCCACTCTGCTGTGAAATACATCACAAGCCATTAGGCCCGTGGAGTTGAAGTAATATCCAGATCTGGGGAGAACCATGATCGCGAATAACGATACTGATAAAATCCAAGTCACGCTTATAACTAATACGCAACCCTGAAAAAAAAAACAATATGCGATGAAGTAATTTTAAATTAATATGATTCTATTATTTATGTTGTTGCCATTTTAATAATCAATTTAAATTGTCGGTTGCAGTTAAGTAAGAAATTGTTAATATTAAAAACTACGTCATACCTTTTTACTGGAGTGTTTTTGATAGGTATTTGGATGGAGCAAATACAAATACCTATCTATAGCCATGCACACTAAAATAACTGCACTTTGTTGACTGACTGCGCCACGTAGTAACGCCTGAAACAACAAAAAAAACTAAATATGATACCAGACACATAAGTACAGTAGTGTATTTGGAAATTATTGATTTTGTAAACCAGGCTCATAGTATATTTAGTTTATTACTTTAAGTACAATTCATATTTACAAATTAGTTAATGCAAACAAAATACTGTTTGAACTTTAAATTTCCATTACTTTCAATACTCGGTAATCTTCTGAGAAAATCTTAATGATGATTAAATAAAGACTTTTGAACATTGCATATAAATTGTAATTTTATTTCGGTACAGTGACTTTCCAATAGCGTGGTAATTACCGTTAAAGGAAATTAATTATAAAGCAACGACAACGGCGCTGCCCTGTTGGTAGATAAGGCACGAAGTCAAAGAACTTGAAACTTTGACAGCCTTGTACATTTTCTGCACGATCACTAAATGAGCCATTAGCCAACGAGCTATAAAAGATATAATCGATTTAGTTATAGTTGTCACGTTAACTTCATAATAGAATGTCATTAATTGAACGACTTATGGGAACCACGGACCCAATTTCGTGCCATTGTCTTGTCAGATTACACAGGTCAGTTTACGTTACACTCAGGGTTTTTCACCAATTTTTTTAATGACAACTGATTACAATTTATATTTAAAATACTACCCCTTTCAGTTTTACATTTGTCTTTTAATATATACAACCTATCCATTTTATCATTGTTATTGATTTACGATTTCAGTATCCTAATTATTTAATAACGCCAATTATTTAACCAACGTTGTGAAAATAGCTTCTACTGTTTTCTTGCTTAACTTATATTTATACTTCGTATCTTTAAGTATAACTTCATTTCAGTAACTTTACTCATTTTCTCGTCTCCATAATAACACTTGCTAACTTTCAGTAACTTAAACTTGATAACAACAATCACGGTGTAATGTTTGCTCTATAAAGTTTTTTAAAAGAAATTTAATGACAATTACTTATATTTTTCCAGGTTGTATTAAAATTATATCTATACTATTATAATAAAGCGTGAACAAACACTTCTTTGTTGCCTAAGATGTCATCCATAACAAGATATTTTTGATAATTTTTTTTTAAATAAAAAGCCCTACACCTGCGTCACGCTTTAGGCTATATATTTTAACGCCATTAAACTTAGGGGGTAAATATTTTTGATAAAAAACCCTAATGTGGGAAAGAGACCATAAATTGCTGCCAACATCAAGGAAGCTAGGATGTCATCATAGGATGTAAACAATAAAATAAAATGTTCATAATTTCATGCGGATGAAGTCGCACGGGGACAGCTAGTTATTAATAAAGCTGTTGTTTTAAATATTATTTAGAAAAAAAGGTCTCTATTCTCATTTGTAATTGTACATAATCCCTCTTATATTTATCAGTTATATCTATTTTTTTCTCTTTAACATCTTTCCAATAATAACCATTTTTATTGGTATACTACTATGGTAAAAACTTGCCTGTATTTGACAGAATATTTCCCCGTATGGCCAACACTTGTACAACGCCGGCAGCAGAGCCACAGGAGCGATGAGTATGCCAGTGAACAGGTCGTTTAGTGCCAACGACGTAAGTAGATACCTAGGCTATAAAATAATGTTACACTGTATCAAGAAACTTTTGAACATTTTGAAAAATGTAATTTTAAATTAATATATAACTAAAATCACCCTTTTTTTGTTTTAACTCTTATCTTAGATAGTATTGTAATCTGATTTTGTTAAAAGAAATTAAAAATCCAAATACCAACCTGATTATCGATGTATTTAATGTAACGTCGATTATTCAAAACACAGATAAGAACGAGATTAGCGAAAACTATTCCCATGGACAGGGCGAATATAAAAAGAGCCTTTAGTATGTCCGCGGGCGCCGGAAACGCTGAAGGCCAAACTTTACCATTCAGCCAGCAAGAGCTGTTAGAGAGAGAGGGCGCCACTAGCAATGCGCCTTTGGTCGAGTCAAACATAGTCGGCGCCTGCAAACTGCAGCGCAATGTTCTTTTAAATAAGACATTTAGATCATTTGAAAACAAACACCCTTCACGCTTCAGATAATTAAATTCATTTTAAATCACTGCCTCATAACAAACGGCATTGTCTTTTCATATAGCACAAAGCACATATTAGATGAGACCAGATTAAGTTTTCTGCATTTGTCGATTCTTGAATTCAGGACCTAATCTGTAACAATAATAAACAAATCATTTGAATATTTACACCAGTTAAATAAATATCGTTATTAGTATAACGGGCCGAATTTTTTGTTAATTTTTGAACGTTAACGTTGATTAAAGTTACTGGCAACTAATAATTTTGAGTACTGGCTGAATGTGCATCGTGCATGATAGATGTCAAGCGGCAATAGATTGACAAATGACAGTTGTCTGAATGGTGGAATATTGCGTTTTGTTATTATAAAATCTATTGGTTAATCTCTGTTAAGGTTTGGAATTCGATTACAGTGTATTGTGAAGTTATCAATTAAGATGGTGGTCAACAAATGATAGTGTTTCTAATGTTACGCGATTTTTATTTCATTATCTCCGACATACGAACGCCTACACTGAAAGATTGTTATCGTGTATATGATCTGCCTTTGGAATTGAATTCAACAAACCGATCGTGACTCCGACAAGTTTATACCACGTCGAATATAATTGGGTATCCAATAATGTAAGATGTAAGTCATAAACCTACTTCAAGAAAAAGCGAAAGTAAATAGAATTGCTATAAGAGATCTTAAACACCACATGTCCATCTACCAAAACGAAATGAACTAGCCAAGTAGCGTGGGCGATTTAGGTCAGGGATACATTGTTGTACTAGTTTGCGACATGGACTTGGCAGAAGCCAGACCCACTCCACCGGAGATGTCGCTACAAAACAAATAAGTTACCACTCTGGCGCCTCCCGATCCAATTTTAAATAAATAACATCGAACTAAGTATCATATTGCCAATGAGCGGAAAGAAGTCCTTGACTAAATCAATAATGTAACATACTCGTATACACTACTTACATACATGTTCAAATCTTAAAAAAAGGTAGTAAATTAGTTTGCACAGTTTTTGACCGATTAACAGTTTTTTTCATTATTACCACCACCCACCAACCCCTTACTCCCTGACTGACTGAAGGTTAATTAAATCTGACGTGTGTATGTGCATATGTACCTTCTATAGTGAATACTTCAGTTTAAAATTCTTAATCTACTTCGAAGGCGATCTATGGGAGTTTACGACAGCTTACTAGCTGTGCTGAATCTTAGTAAAAAGATTGTTTAAAATGTTGTTTTTAAATAAATTAAGGACGTCAAAACAAGGGAGTTGATAAATGTGTTCTATAGAACGATGTACATTTCCTACTCCCTTTCCAAAAATCGTATCTTTTAACAAACACCGCCGGCCATAATTGAATCGGCGAAGAGATTGGACGAGGAAGTTTAAGATAAGTGTACAATTGTACAAACAATCCAGATACTGTAGATATAAAACATGTTTCTTCCGTGGGTATCTGTTGAAACATTTGTATTAAAATGTATTGTTACCGTTACAACAACGACTGTCTGTAATGTAACAATGATTCTGAATAAATAAGATAATATTATTAATGTTTCAGCGGTGGCTAACTTTGCTTATCCTACTAATACTGTTAGTGCAAAATTTTGCATCGCACGCATGATATCGAATAATGTCTGGAACATTTTTCAATGTGTAGATATAGTAGCGAGCAAAAGCTAGTTATTAAAGAATACCTTTTAGAAAGGTATGATATTTCAAAGTGGTTTTTGTTGGATCAAAGATAAAGGATCGTTCTATGGTGCTGTGATAAAAAGTTACGTGTTTGCTCAAAGCGTTATTCGATGAAGACAAAAAACATAACATTAACATACTATATGACACTAATGTGTGAAAAAAATTCTCAAAGTATCCGAGGTCACGAGGCCGTTGCTTATAAATGCACGAAGAATTGGGTCGACGCCAACAAAACATGCTATCACTGGAGACTTGCCTTAGGAATATAAATGTATAATTATAATGAACAAAAGATGCTGTTTGTAGGATAAATGTCTGAATATAACTAAAACGTCCCTCATTTACAAAAAAAAGTCAACAACGTTAACTTTTGTAAACACTTGGCTTAGCGCTTCGAGGAATACAGGTTTGAGTCGCTGAAAACCTTAAACAATCCGAGGATAACCATAGATCGAATCACAATTCCAAATCAACCAAGCTTAAGTAACAAACATAACTATTTAAGTTGTACATACCCGAAAATGTACCCTCCACGGGAATAAAACAATTGAAAGCCGTTGCGGATTTTTGTATTTTTTTCTTTCATCTCCGAGGCGCTAACCTTTAAGACGCCTCTGAAATGTGAAGTATTCTGTGCAAACTAACGACTCCTTGTCTTCAAAATGTATGTTCTCCTTCTGTGTATCATTCATAACATAAGCCAAACTAAGTGTTGTACTGTGTTGGTTTTTTGCATAATATGAGATGAGTTGTTTTTCTGATGAGATATTCAATATGATGTAATATATAATATGATGTATTACGAGGCTACGTATTAATAATCCTTTTGCCACTCGCTAAAGTCTGAACTGACGTTTAGGGATACCGCTCCGAAATTTTACGTAAAAATTGAAATAATTCACAGTAATAACAACTTTGTTTGGTTTCTGTCGATGTTGCAAAGTTTACTTTACGATAAAATAGAATTCAACTTCTGTTTGCAGTTTAATTTGCATTGGAGCGTTTGCTATTGCGCGTTTGTTTATAGCACTCTTTTTTGTATTTGTTCATTCGACAAAAGAGCGATCGTATTTATAACTCTTTAGAGTGACTCGAAAAATATGAAGAATAAATTATACGTTAAAAATTGATGTAATTTTTAGGAATATGGAATAACTATTTTTTAACATAACCCGTATTGATACGAAGCTTGTACAATAGTTAAATTCGAATCCTCGATATCTAGACCCTTACGTATTGGGCTATGGGAACTTTGCAATATATTTTCATGTTTATTTCCTGTGCAATTTGCACCTCTTCTATTCCACGTTTGTTCTTCTATGATTTGATTCTTCCTTTAAGTGTTTTGCAGTGGTTTTCAAAACTTTCAAACTTTTTTAATTAAAAAGTTAGACGGCATCGTTATATTACAGACCTGATCGAAAGTGATTTTCACTACTTATTAATTTTTATTAGAATCTGTGCAACTCCATATAGTATTTTGGTAAATCCTCTAACAGTTTTAGATATAAAACAATAAAATAAATTTTGTTACAAAAATTCCAATTATAAAATCACAAGAAAACGTAACGCCTAATTGAGGTGCTAATTTGTAACGAATTTAGAAAAATGCAATTGACTGAACATAATTAAATTCTCTCCAAGTTTAGAGAATTTCATAATGTAATCAAATATAATTTTACACAAGAATTCGACACAAACAAATTATTTTTTCAGAACTTTGTTCAAATTAATAAAACAATTTCAATTTAACTTTTTCCCATTTACGAAGATTTTTTTTTTTTAGGCATAACACTGAACAACATCTACAAGGTACTTAGCCCCGTCTAAAATAAGGTTTGGGCGGATTTGTTTTTCCTTACTTATATCTTAAAGTAATAATTTTTTTTTTAATCAAAAGTATATTTTAAACTAGCCGAAAATCTTTCTTCTTCCACGACAATTATTTATGATTACTAATTTCTTTTCAAATTGTACCACTTCTAAGTTTTATTACAGCAAGATGTCTCTTAAGTTGCAACTTTCACAGTTGCGTCACTTTAAGAGTTGACATATAAAACTTAAATGTCAGTACAAAGGCATCGCGCAAGAAACTTGACTTAATTAAAAGGATGTGAAACCACAATTCATAATAGAGTGCACCTGTTGACGACAGTAGCGTGTACCAAAGCAAGAGGTGGAGTTGTTAGGCTAAGTAAAGTGCACACCCAATTTGTACCTGCTTTATTAATAATTAAACAATGTCATATCTTTTAGCTACGAGTGAACTACTCTTATAAGAAAAAATGAAACAAAAGATTCTACTACTGTTATTTCTAGAAATATATATTGTTTAACTTGTTACCGACAGCGAAGCAGCCAAAGATACAAAATAAACTTTTATACTACAACAAGACATCTTTATTCAATCTTATTTACATATTTACACAATCAATTAACAAAACTATAGCGATCCCGTCTTGTCTTTTTATACGCTCTCTTTTCTTCTTTTACTATAATAATCACGGAAAAGTCTCGATGGCCAGTATGCAACCTGTTTGGCTGTATTTACACCTCTTGTCAGCCAAAGAGATTGTTGTATTTTGCACTGAACAAATATACCCAATGTTACTGAATGATAATGTAGCTTGCCATCGCCAAAAGAATTTATGAAATCGGTACAGTTGTTTTAAATTTATTAAAATTATACAGCAACTATTAACTTAAACATAAAGTAAAAAAAAAATCGCAACAGAAAATTTCAGATATCATAATATCGATACCGATATTTAGCCCGTTAATGTATCAGTAGATTTCACATAAGTATATTTAAAAAAGTTGCAAATAATATTTATAAGTGTGCAATATTGTGTACTAGTCTAAAAGAGAACTTTGTAAGTAATGAAAACTCATATGAAATATCAATTTTCAACGAGTATTCTCTCGGGCGGAACGTGTGACGGACTTGACATCAGATCGACCTCATTAATTTAAATTAGAGCAATTATTGCTAGTCTATTTTTTTAAATTCCAGTCTGCATCGAAGGAACTTTGAATACACGTAAATAATTTTTAATGTCATAATTTAAGGCAGTATTCCTTCGTTCTTATTATTTTAAGTCATTGTCTTTTGAATTTCTCTTGTCAATGGATTTTGGTCATTAAGAAAATCTTTACATTTTTCAGAGATCAATCAATACTATATCTCTATTGATATAGAGTGTCAGTGGTAAAGTAATAAGTGGTACTTTAGATATTCCTCAATATTCTTGATAAAATAATCATTTCGCATGAGCTGTCGCCCGCAAACTTCGTTAGCGCAATTTTGGACCACCCGTTACGCCATTTTGACAGCACAGGATTTAAAAAAGTAGCCTATATTATGCCCGTCTATGTAAGCTACCCTTTAGTGAAAGTCCGGTCGGAAACGGCCCGGCAGTTTCGGAGATTACCTGGAATAAACGTGACTTGCGAACGAACAGGCAGACAAAAAAATTTTGAATGCGAATTTTCGTTATCAGCAACGCAAATACATCATCTTCCTGAAATCTGGAATTTTTCTATTGAAATTACAAACAGACACTCCAACTTTGTTACATGTATAGGTAGATTAAGTAGCTTAATCTGTATTCGTTAATAGGACTAGCCTAATGCCTAACTTGTGAATATCGCTCGTCGAATATGTGCAATTACACAGACAAGCGACTAGAATCGACAATGGTCGCTTTAATTGATAGTTTGCTATTGAGGAATTACAGGTGCCTCACTTTGATCTATCGTAGAATCTAGAACTAGACGTATCAAAATTGTCTAGATTCCGATCTAGACTAATGTTTTTCAACAATATTCCTAATATTGTGGGTTTTTGATCTTTTTTTAAAATCATTCGGGAATTTTTATATTTAACCTGCTATTCTGCTGAACAAAAGGGCCATACGCCTCCACTACCACTTTTTTTTGCTTTCTACCTACGATTATACGAATGTATAAAAGACTGGTTATCTTTAATCAAGAACTTCGATCGATTAGTTAATTTTGTTCGCTTAGGTTTACCTAAGCTTTGTCAGTACGATTTATAAATGATTGAAAAATAAGGCGGTAGAACTAAAAATAGCATAAAATGCGACAAAAGAAATAGCTAGAGGCGACAAAATAGCTCTCTTCCGTTAGCTTATTCGTGAAATAAAGAAGGCAACGGTTACTTTTCGTATCAGATCTATCTATTCATTCAATCATTTCTTAGATGACTACGTTACTTGAAAAACCATACCAACAAAGGAATTAATGATGTTTTAGTAGAGTTGTTTAAGTGAGTTCGTAGTTTTACAGATAAACTAACTATACCCCTCGGTTTTACCTTTATCATCTGCTTATGGATGTTAACGAGAAGTAGACGTCACAATTCACCATTTTATTGTTACAAAAAAGGCATCAGACACACATACATACTATGGTAGAAAGTATTTCTGTAAATCCCTTCCAAAAATCTTTAACGACTTTAAAGAGCTAATATAAATAACACCGTGCTTATTGGTTTAAAATAAAATAAAAATCCAAAATATTATAAAATATTAGCATAAAAGCTTTGAATTTGATATGTAAATCAAATTACAAGACCTTTTTGTTGACTCAGGTCCGATGGTGAATCTTCTAACGTAAATTACATATGTATTTACTGTTGAAGTTGACATGAAAACTCTTTTATGAAAAAAGAAGAAAAAAACATATACATTGACACTTATAAAGTGACGTGAAAAATTTTATTAAGAAAAAATTTAATATGTCATAAATATCTGTCGTGAAGTATAATATAATTAAATAAACTGTGTTATATATCTCTGCTTTCAATATTTTAATTATATTAGGTTATGGGCCCAGCACGCTTCCACTGCGCAAGAAAAAGAAAAGTAAAGTAGAAAGAAGTTACGTTTGTGTAACAATGTTTGATTATTCTGTTTCATTTCAAGTATCAACAAACTAAATGCAATACTGTGATTTGCCTCTTTTTCATATTTACAGGCAAAATTTTATTAACACAGATTCAGGAAAAAAGCTGCTTTTTAATATAATTTGCGTATTGTGGTTCATGTTATTTTTCTCTTTATAATATTATCTTTATACGTTATGATATTATTGTTTATATCCTAAATATTATTAACTACTGGATGCTGCCCGCGACTTCGTCCGCGTGGTATTAGAAAACATACGAACTATATACATAACAAAAAGCTACGTGTCTCTTGGGAACTGGACATTTCTCGAAGATGAACCTTATCCCATGTGTACTCCAGACTTTGTTTTATATCTATGCCAAATTTCAATAAGATATGTTGAACCGTGAGAATGATGGAGTAAACATTAAAAAACTAAATTAATGAATTCCACGGGAACTGTAACTATTCCCGGGATAAAAAGTAGCCTATGTGTTCCTCCCGACCATGTTCTAAACCCGTACCAAATTTCATGGAGATCCGATCAATCGATTTAGGCTGTAGCCTAACGCTAATAAACATCCATCCATCCAGCGTAACTTTCGCATTTATATTATTTAGTACTTTATTTTATCACAATTGTGTAAGTGAGAAATGGGCAATAAAAATTATATTATTACTTTGTTTACCCATTGAAGGAATGTTTTGCAAACCGTCCAACTACGCAAATGTTTTCTAACAAAGAAGAAATTTTCAGTATAGGATACGTCGCTAAACAAATAAAAGATACTTTTTTTATTTCCGGTAAACAAATATAAATGTTTGCAATTGTTAACATAGAATACTTTGGTTATTCATCACCTGTGGAAAGTATCGTAGAGTATTTAATTTGAAAAAAAAAATAGAAAATACAATGGAAACCGCAATCATTTTTGTCAAACTTCATTATAATATAAGGAAAAAAAAGATATAAAAGCCATCTCGAGACTGTAGACACAAAAGCTATGTAGGAACAATAAATTTAACCTTTGACAAGTAGCTTTATTCCCTTCAAAGGCTTTATTTCCTTTTATTATTTTGTCCCGAAATTATTTTAAGACGAACCTTTCAAGCGAAGTGCTTACGAGGTAGTGAAAAGTTAAATCAATTACAAAGCTACGGCGGGAATTTCATTTTGAATTGTTGAAGCAGCTAATTTATTTTATTTTATAACTTGCAATATTACTGGATATCGAAGAAATAACTATAACACTAAGTTATACTGGTTTGCTTTTATTCTTTACGAACTGTTTTTTACAATTTTAACTTAATTGCAACTTAAATGTTTCAAATAGGTTAAAAAAACCGATTATCTATACATGCAACAATAATGTTTAACTTTACTAAAGGGAAAAGATTTGTATTTTTGTGTTTATTGAAATAACTCAAAAACTACATGATCGATTTCACATTACAAAGCTACAATATGAATAAGTGGCATAAGCTATGTTTTAATTATTTTTTAATTTCACGCGGAAGAAGTCGCGAGCAACAGCTAGTATGTTATAATTTTATGTAATAACTGCATTTTTTTAATATAAAAAACATTTAAAATACACCTATAACATTCAAAACGTCCATATAAAAGGTGTTGTATAAGTAATACTAGGTCTTTTGCGAACCACAAAGTATAAGATAAAATATGAGGACATAAATCATACGTATTGTAGGGCTGGCAGTATTGTGTCGAAGGAGTCATAATGTCTTGAATTTATACACGAATTTCTAAGAGTTTGAAGCACAAATAAAAATACTTTATAACAGTTAATAATGAAACGTTTTAGTTAGTCTATGTATGTATTAAAAGTGCAAATAATTGGGATCCTTTTTAGAGATTTTAAAGTCTGTTGATGTTTTTAAAATCCTGGCAAACTATTCACACGAATAGCTTATTTTAAAATAATTGAATGTATACTTATTCATTTAATAAATAATTTTTGCTATACCAAACTTATAAGTACCTATTTTCAGACTAAAAACGTTTTAGTATTAAGTTAAAGGAAAAAAGAAAGATTTATTTTATGTACCCAACCTTCGTTAGCAAAAACCTTCTTCAAAGGTCTATTAAAACAAATGTGAAGCAAACAAAGTTACTGAAAGTAATTTAATCATAAAGGTTATTTGGTAAATAAAGAACGCAGCTATGAAAATAATGTAAATCATATTTATGTGTGTAGCCCTTTCTTTACGTTTCATCTGCTTCAAACATCGACTTTAATGATACGGCATATAAGTATTGTTTATGGCACATAAGTATATTAACCATTTACATAATATATCATAAGCACACCAAACATACAACAGACAAACTTTAAAGAAAAAAAAATACAATTCGCAGTCTTGTTCCTCGTGATCTAATTTTTTTATTTTATATAATCTTATCATTTGCGTTTGAATTGTGTGTTAACATTAACAAATGCGGTTGTATTTAAAATTACAATTAAGTTTCTCGATAACCATTTTCCAAATCCTCTCTCCTGATTTTTTTTATAAGTTACTTAAAACCATAATTTGGCGAAAAATACACTAAGTATAACTAACTGATAACGACATTATGACAGGCTTCGATGATGAAGTGGTTGAGACGAAAGAGCAATTAGCAGAGGTATCATATCACTTACCACATCAGTCAATTCTGTCAACATTCATTAACAAAACATCATGAAATATTTGATCACGAAATTCTCCTTAAATTATTAATTAAAGAACAAAATATTTTTTACGCAAATAAGGACACACACTTAAATCAAAGTTAAAACATCATTACTTTCATATCGAAAGCAGCGTTAAGAAGGGTAACATGAGAACACAACCTCCCGGCTCCACGTCTGAAACAGAACTGAAATTACTGAAACATTTGTCTGCTCCCTCTGCGGACAGCAAGTCACCGCGGGATGATAAAATCCGCCAGTACTCCCGATAAGCCTCTTACATGCCTTATTTTATGGCTGTTTATCTTTTTATATCGTAACAATATAATACAATAATTCGAATGAGATTATCACTGGCTGCTAACTTTATTTCACTCGTATTACGCAAACAAATACGATATTTGAAACCGTGCCAAACGCATAAATTGCCAGATATAAATGTCTAATATTTGACTACATTTATATGAAACTTTTATATGTGAAATAAATTAGTATCCTACTCGTATATTTGCGGCTTATTGATTAATATTGGGGTAAATATTATTTTCACTTTTTCAATTGAATAAAAAAATTATATCTCCTGATTTAATTGTGTCACAAAAAATGACAATATGTAAAGACGCTTTAATACAAATGCTTCTTTGGAAATTTTAAGCACCCCACAAAGCTCTCGAGTCAAAGCGAGGCCGACGTCGTAAGGCACTTTCTAAGACAATAGTTCCATTGAGATTAGGTTCTTTGTAATGCAAAGATCAAGGGCGATATATTGAGGTGCAAGAACGAGCACTTTGCTTACAAAAAGAACAATGACATCTCTATTATCTCAGCCTATATGTGTGACATCGTTTAAATTTAAATTGTAATCTAACCACAGTATTTTACATAACTTTCTGTTTTACCATTCATTAAAATAATGCTATTTGCTACAATAATCAAAAAAGTTTAAAGAAGTCAAATTCATATTTACTTACGTATAAAATTGTTCAAGATTATTTTAATAAACCACTTACGGCTGCAAATAATTACAAAATTTCACTTTGGATCAAAAATTTCATGCGTAAATACCGCTTGTAGACGTTGTTTGGATCCTCCGTAAATAATGGCCTAACTTAAAAGAGTATAAAACTGTATTTGGCTTGAATATTAATTCCGTAGCTTCTAGTTGTCATTCAAAGTGTAGCATTTTGCAAGAGGAATTAAGAGGTATTTTACTAATCAAGACTTTGAATTTCAAACTTAATAAATTCTTGTAATTAATTTAACTTCAAAGGCAGATTGTTATAGCAGATATTTTTAGTAAAAGTTACATTGTAGGAAATAGACCATCGATAGAAAAATGTAAATAGGTATTTTTAAAATCTCTTTTACTGGCATATAGCATTTCAGCCCGTGGTTAGTTCGGTGTAGTCTAGTTCAGTAATCCAAAAAAAAGATCACTAAAATAAAATAACCGGACCCATCGCTATTTTACGTGGTAGTCGTGAAACGGTAGTTTATACTTGAAACATTTGGAACTATTATAATAAATAACATGGTATTTAAATGTGCCTCTTTAAAAGAAAGCACCTATTCTAAAATACCTCAGTAGGCGTACAACAGTTCAAAGAAATATCAAATCTAAAGATCAACTCGTTAATGCTTCATGAATTCATTACGAACTCCGCCGCAGATTGATAAATGAGTTTGTTTTCGTGTATTTTGATTCATTATAATCGAATAAAATCGGAGAGCTTAATTATATACAGTTATGAAAATCAATTTAATCTTATTTTGTATTTCTTAAAATGGAAATAAACTTGTACAATGTTTTTGCTTTGTTTTTTCCACATTAAGTAGATACCTACATTAAAACATGGGGACTTTCCTCGGAAAACAAATTAATGTTACATAACGCAAAGTATTAATAAATTATTTATATTTGAAAAAGATGCGGTTAAACTCTTTTTTAACCACCTTATCCGTAGCTCTTCTTGTAATTCTTAATTTCGATTTTTTTTTCAACAACGGCAAGTTAAGGATATTTAATTTCGGATAAAGACTTTAGGCATATCTTAGCTTCGTACTTAGTTAACTGCTTCCATTCATACGTAATCCATGACAACTAATTATTACAACTGCCAACTGCTACTTATTAAAAATACCCGGTTGCGTTTGTGGACGGACGGGGAGACGCATAGGAAAAGAAAACATACCGTTCTGTGCGAGGCCCCTCCGTCGCTGGTACGCAATGCATCTGCAATAGTGGATGTCTAAGGGCAACGATCGCTTTGCTCTTCTTTTTTCGGCAAACTCTGGTGGCTCCTTGCTCGTTGCCTGTCTCTAAAAAAATCTAGTCCTCAAGATATATTTTCAGTGTGTTTGATGATAATATCTTAACTTACTTAGGATTAATAAACATGGATTTAAAACGTTTTACGTTAAAGATAAACCAACAATACTTGTTTTGAAAATAATAATTGTTTTATGCTAATTTCGCAACCCTTACTTAATGTAAGATTCTTACCCTCTAAAGTAAAGCCATGTGTAAATTAAGTTGAATAAATTATGTAAGCTAAGGCCTCGCATACACGAACTGAATCAAGTAGTTTTTATTGACCTCCAAGGAGTGTTTGGCCATTTTAAACGGCCAGTGAAAGCTTAAAAAGCTTTTCTTAAGTATTTTGACAATGAAAATCACAGTTTATCCAGCTACGGTACAGCTGTCCTTTCTAATATAAATTTAATTTCAGAGCATAAATAACTTTGTACTAATTACAATAAACATTAAAAATTGCGAAAGTGTCATAAAACATTTTCCGATTTCATTGCGGAGATCGTAATTGGTTTCGCTGAAAATTGTCATTCGATAGTTTTCGTTGTATTAATTGCCTTGTGAGATAACGCCGTTAATTAATACATTTCATGAATGTATTCCACTTTTAATATTCCAGTGAAAAGCCATGAATCGAAACGTAATTATTTATATTTATGGTCGCCCATGGGTCAAAATTCCTTCATAATTCATAATACTTTTTGTCTTTGTCTTTTAATTCCAGTGTTCTAATAATGTCAATAGTGTTTAAAATAAAATTAAATGTAATCATTTGTTTACAGAAAGAAGTAAATACTGTTCTCAATATTTCACATGCAGGAGTAAACTGTGAATAACAAATCTGCTCTGTACGAATTGCTCATAAAAATTCAATACAACAGAACGGTCAATAAATCACAACGCAAACTCCTGGAATGTATCAACTTTTACTCATGTAATATGAGATACGATAGCAAAAATAACTTTTTATTAATGGTTTATGAAATAAAGATTTAACTCTAAAAATATGTGGTTAGTGTTAGCGAGGTGTTGTTGAAAGGAATAATAAAAAAATATATCGCTCATTATTTAAACCCAAAATGTATTAACTTTTATTAACATAATAAATTACTTCAACAGAAAATTATTAAATAAAAAAAATAATTTAAAAACCCCTACTAACGTTAAACGTGAGCAATATCTGCGATAGCATTTTTGGAAAAGAATGCAACAAGGCTTTTGAAGATCTTCTTAGCTGATTCCTCTATCATTGGACCTCCAAACTCCTTAGTTATCTCCTTCCAGTTTTCATTCAAGAATTTTAACATAGGGTCACCTATAAAGACATAAAAAATGTAATAAGTTAAAACAAGAAAAGCCAAGGGTGCGGTTGGGCGATAGCCCAGGGCCGGACAGAAAAGGGCGTCACGCGTCTGCGAATTACTTTACATAACCTGTTTAGTGTTCAAAAAAGTTAAAATGTCGTAAAAATCTTATCCGGTCGCTAAAACTGGCACTACTTTCATCCTCTTTACTTTTACAAATCATGTCTTGTAACGAGACTTATTATTTTTAAGTTAGTAGTTTTTAAGATACTTACTCAGATCTTTGTTTCCGTTAAACAGATTTGTTAAATCGAAGTGGGCGCCATCTTTGACATCATACTCATATGAGAAAGAACTTAGTTTAATGTGGTCCTTGCCATCTTTCTTCTCAATTTCGTAGTCCAGTACCAATTTTATATGGATATTTTCTGAAAAGTTAGCAAATTATTAAACTTCACGATGCCTTTTTTCATTTTTTTTTGACATAATTTAAACATTTATCTGCATGGGTTTTTTCCGTGGGACCGATCGTCCTACCGAACAATCGGTCTTACGGAAAAAACTTTCCCATTGGTTCGGATGCCTGATGGATAGATTGGACATTCATTTGTCAACTTGTACTAATATAAAAAATGTATATTTTTGAGTTTTTGTATATTGAAATAAATCAATAACTACTGGGCCGATTTAAAAAATTCTTTCACCGTTAAAAAGTCACATTATCACTAAGTAACATAGGCTACCTTTTTCTACTTTTTTAATTCCACATGGACGAAGTCGCGAGAAACAGCTAGTTAATAACAAAACATGTTAAAATACAATAAAAAATCTTATGGTTCTTGAAGAATCTAGCAATGTAACACTTGTTTCGTACTTAATCGTTAAATTCACTTACTTAATTTAAGTTTCATTTGACCATCTCCTGTAATGGGCAAGATGAGCACGCGGCCCGAGGCTGTGTAATGGCCCTTGATGCTACAGTCCGCATGAAAGTCCACATTTATTTTTTTATTCTTAGTATCCCATCTGAAAGTATATATAACAGAATATACAATTTTAAATAGGCTCACCTTAATAACATCATCATCCACTTGCCCTTATCCCTTGCGGAGGGTCGGCATGTATGTATGTATGTAAGTATGTAGTATGTGCTGCTCTTCCATATATCTCTATCAGCCGTTATATCTGAATCCACTCCTTTCTTAAGCATATCCTCTTTCACACAATCCATCCATACTTTCTTTGGTCTTCCTCTTCCTTTGTAGCCATCCACATTCAAACTTAACACTTTCTGGTTTATGTCCCCATCGTTTTACCTTAATAACAATTAACATTGATAAAAAAGCAAAAATCTAATTGAAAAATACAATTTTTTTTCATGAATTATTTCATCAACACATTGTTTCATTATTAAAATCACGTCAAACAAGTGCACGTGAAACGACAGGTAAAAAATAAAACATAATTTTATTAACAACAACTATTCCACTTGACATTTAAAATTATTTCATTATTACGTACTTATAAAAAATAGTGGCAAAACCCGCCAAGTAACATTTTGTGGTCAAGTTATGTCAATAAAGTGGTCGACCAATTTTTTTGCTGATTCACACCCCGCGAGAATCCTTTTTCTATTCTGAGTACTATTTTTACTAATAACAAAGTTATTTAAGTGGCATTCATTTTGACAAGATTCACTAAACGTTAGCTAGCCAGTGTACTATTTTGCCAGCTAAAAATAAATAAACAAAAGGTGAGTTATCATTCAGTAAGACACTATTTTAAATAATGGTAGAGCCTGCTTGAACATGTTCGCATGAATGGACCAGCCAATTTAAAGCCACGACCACACGGATAAAAGACATGCAGTGCGACCAATTTCGTGTTTCGTCTTATGAGTGAGGTACCGGAGGCCTAATTTTAGTCACTTTCCCTTTTCTTTCTTTCTTCAGTCAGACAGTGGAGGAGAAGCATAGGAAAGGGAAATATCCTATTTATGAGCGACTCTAATGACACCGTCGATTCGAAATTACGGCGAATTAAGGTAGCCGCTTGCTCGTTTGCCACCTTATGAAAATAAGTAAAGTAAATAAAAAAACGTACTTAACATCGTCTATAACGGCGTGTTTCATGCCTTTAACAGTGCCTTCTTTAAGACCGAAATTTAGACCCGCTAGCTCAAATTTCACGTCATCTAGATTCATTATATCCAGCACTTCAACACCATACTCTGGTATCCCAGATACGAAAATGGGAAGCGACTTTTGGAAAGCCGGTATTAAGCATGATGAGTCTTCTAATTTACATTTGTCTGCGGGTAAAACTGAAAAAAAAAACATTAAAAAATGACGTATTAAAAATAATAAATTTACAATAATACAGACACTTTACAAATAGATATTTATAGTATAAAAGAAATGATGAGTAACTTTTCTTTCACATAGGTGGTCGACAGTCATGGTAAAGTGAGTTGACAGTTGCTGTCGACACGAGAGAACAGCTAACACGTGCTTTGTCTCACATTGCTTGAAATAGATAAACTACTAGTTTCCCAGTAATCAGACTCGGTCCAATTCGAAAAAAATAATGAAAAGCAATAATGAAATCCGCTCATATTTCGACAAAGAAATGAACCATAACTTAAAAATTATTTATGATTATAGAATATTGTTCTAACCTCCACAATTTACTATCCCGAGCAAAAGAACATTAAACAATAATATTAAATGAACCATTTTAGAACGCGCCTGAAAGTTCCGTGACAAATGCTACTAAAAACTGCACTGTTGCAAAATGACCGAGAGTGAGAATTTATACTGACGTTAAGGTAACAATGTTCACGAGGATACAAAAAAAACAACGATTACTCATATTATAAGTAATTAACAACATTATATGGTTGTTACACTAATCTATGTCATTAGAGATACTTTTTAAATTTAGTCAAATGATCTAAAAGTATTTAAGTACACTTTCAAGGTTTTTTTGTAATACCGCGCAAACAAAACCGCGGGTTAAAGCTAGTTGTAAAAGCTATAGTTTGGAGGAATGTAAGTATAGTAAAGATAATACTTTTTGTATCTAATCGATCGGAAGTAACGTATAGGCTGTACTTTGATGTTGTGATGCAACGTGGGTTCACCAAGTCTAAGCTTGATATTGTAAAAAAAAATAGATTGTTTATGTTATTTTTAAAATAGTGAAACAATCGTGCACTGAGATAACTTGTTATTTTAAACCGACTTCAAAAAAGATGAGGTATACATCTGTATGTTTTTTATAAGACGTTTTTATGTTCGTGTATACTTTAAAGGTAAAGCATAAAGGCCTAGGAACGAGAATTGCGGATATCCGATGTAAAGTTCACCCTGATCATGAATGGCATGGGAAATGCGGATGCAAGTGGTATCGGAAGTAGAATAGAGTTCCGCAAGCGTAAATTGGAATTGCTTCACAAATGTACAGGCAAAGGAATAAATTCGATTCCCGCTTAGCATCATGTACAGAGAACACGTTGTTGTACAAGTTTTGGACGGATGAAATCGGCGAATGGGGAGGAAATAAGAATCCTCGACTTGACAGAACCAGTTTGCACATATAAGAGTGGAAGGTATTTTATACTGGTTTTTTATTAAAAGATATTACTTGTTGCTCTTGAACTTTAAACAAAAACAAACTTCATTCTACCATCTTACGTGAATTTAAATTAAATTTCAAGATAATACAATGCCTGTTTCTTTTTTCTTATTGTTTTTTT